TTTGCGAAAGGCTGCTGGCAGCAGATGGAAGTGACCAACTGAGGACCGGGCGAAATAGCGCGCGGTGGGTGAGGCCTATGTCCAGCAGTGGACTGCGATAGGCTGATGATGATAATTGAGCAGCAACTATGTAGAGAAGGTAGCTACACGCTTGAAACTGCTATTGTAACTATAGCAAACTGTGCTAGACTTTGTCACGCTGTGCCAACTAAGCTAGAGAACGAACCAGCGGACCTTACGAATTTTTCTATGCGCTTGTTGCAGGTTTTGGTTTTTAACGACTTTTTGCCATAGCGCCATCTGCGAGAAATCTATTTCTTCACTCGGCCAGGAGCCTTCACAGCTACCAGCAGCTGACTAGATATGTCACTTTCATAATTGTAATTAAGGTCTGCTGGTTCGTTCTGTGGCATCTAGCACGGTTGCTAGAAGACGCTCTGGTTCGAATCCAGCCAGATCGAAGGAATTTTTTATAAGTGTTCGATCTTTGTATTAATAGTTAAGAAACTAGTGGAGTAATTTCACAAAAAATAATGAATATCATGATGGTGAAACATCCTGACATTCAATAAACTTAAAGACCATTCATTACTTATGTATTGATTTGATATAATACGATGTTCCCTTTTTCTCTTTAAAGAGAAACCCAAAAATTTGTATGTTCTCTTCATGGTATGCAAAATTTCAACTTTACGAAAGTAAAGTTTATGCACAGCAAAATCTCTGCATAAACTTTACTATTATCATGTTTTTATGGTAGAACCAATTACAAAATGGTATTAATAATCCTGAAACAAAAATTGTGCTACATGGTGTAATCTACAGACTGAACATGGTATCAATTTACTGATTCTTGAAAGGGTCTGCATAAAAAACACCTTACAAATGATTTTCTTATTGAATAGCAAAACAAAAGAACGATTTTTACACAATTTTATTAATTCCTAAATGATTGTACATTGCTCTTAACAAAACATAACTGTGGAAAGATACTAAAACAATAAATAAATTTTATGAATCTGATTACTTCTTGGATTTGGGTTTAAGGATATTGTACAATATCACAACACCAAAGAATGCGTATGTAGCCTTTGCTGTCTGTAACAGAAAAAAAAAAACGTTTAGGGTGCCTTCAAATTAGATGCTTCCAGAAAAGCTGCAGAGGTGCGACTGTGGCGAGGCAGCCACACGTCTATGGCGCTTCAGTAATTTTTAGTTCATTTACTGTGACTGCTGACTGAAAGTAGCGTGCGTGTCACAACAGTCTAATTTGAAGACACCCATAATGTTACTAACATAATTAACACTTTATAATTTGTTTAAGAAACTTTTGTAGTTAACCTTACTTAGACAAATTATAAACCCCAAATTGTGTAGGGAAGCTTTATTTATTATATTATTATTATAAGCCAATTTATTTATTATTATAAGCCATTGACGGGTAGTCAAAACATTAAAGATTTGAGTTTACATGTACACACGCCCGCACGTCAAGCTACACATTGACGTATCTCGTTCCGTTACACTGGAGGCGATTATCGAACAAAAATGTGTAGTCTGATGTGCCGTTGTCCGTACATATTTAATGAATCGTGTAGGTATTTCAATAATAAATAAAAAATATATCCAGTTTTGCAATGATAATCTTTAGAATTCAAAAGTAACCATATATAATTGCTTAATAGCGTAGGGAACGTAGTGAGATGGGTAACCTCAAAATGGGAATTAATTTTAGTATTATAAAATAGCAAAACCACTTACGTTAGCTCTGCCATTATATGTATGACTGTTGAAAATCTTAGACAGGCCCTTGAGGTTGGCGCCTTCGGCAGAATCTCCACCAGCCATCCTAAAATACGTACAAAATAATGTAACCAATAATTCGGAGTTCTCTCATCGTAACACAGCCTTAAACTTCTTGCAACGGTTTGATAGTATGTTTTACAATATTAAGACCTTGTTTATTAAAGAAAATCAATAGTAATACCTTTAAAATAATTATTTTAGCCTTATATAATTACGAAACTACTGTAGTGTAATAGAATGACAGCTGAGTAGAAGGAGGGGTGGTGCGGGACGGGTGGCTGTGGTAGTTGGTTAAAAAAAAACATTGTGTGCAACCAAAAATAAAATACCAAATCAAAAATTTGGTTTATGCATATTAATGAGATACATACTAGGCTTTGAGTTTTGTATTTAACGTTGGAATATGTAAAACTTTTGATTTTAATTTCAATGTTTTCGGAAAGTAAATGAGCACGGTCAAAACGCAAAAATTGAAGCGTGCAAGAGCACTAATTTAAAAAAACCATTTTTTAATTTAAATAATTTTGTTCAAAAAATTATAAATTAGAATAATATTTAATTATAAATATCTATTATAAATTTGGGTTCCAATATGTTTGGGTTAAACTCATCATACTATCTTTACTAACTACTTTAGTGATAATTTCGTCATATTCAATAACTTTTCAGTTCTTTACCAAACAAGACAATGATTTAGCCTTAGAATAATAACGCATAGAATGATAGTTTCATATCAAACGAACTGTCACAAGTGAGGCAAAAATCAAATTCATGTAGGCTAGTTTTAGTAGTAGGTTAATTTTCGGTTTTAGTGACTATTTATATAAAAATATAAGTTGAAAAGCGTTACTTCCTTGTGGAATGTGATGTTAGTATCTATTTTATGTTTGTCTGACGTATTTTTACACTCATTTACCGCACATTTCGTCATTATTAGCTAAAATTCTTGAGCTGTTCGCGGTGCATGTTGACCTTGAGCACTGACGGCCCGCCCGCTCGTGCGCCCCAATGGGAGTGTTTCAATTTGCCTCACTAAGCGAGGGCGGACTAGGTTTTTATGCGTTATTATTCTAAGGATTTAGCTGCTAAATTTCTTTAGTGTAATTAGCGGAGCTGGATATCAAATCATGTCTTTGTAACGGAATGCTCACTTTTTTATCTACCAATGCGCCACTTCACTGAACAATTACCGAACAAGGCAATGGCGAACTTAAGAATTGATGAAGTTAGACCGTAAATTCCGGTATTCTTTTCTTATTCAAAAGGATACAGAAAAAAATACATACCACCTTTGTCACTGCCATAATTTTCATTCTACCTTGTTTTTCGATATAAATAGTAAAGAGCGATGAGTGCGCACGTTAGTTTAGCAGTCTGGAATCAATTTAAAGCTTTGGCAATATTATACATGTAGGTACCTACGTAAGGAATACCTACCCTCGCGAATAAGGGTCGCTCTTCGCTTCAAATCGTTGCAGCCAGACAGCGCCAAACTGCATGCATTATTAAAACCAGCAATGCAACCATAAACTTGATCTTCTACAACGTAAGGTTTAAAAAAACATGAAAACGTGATGTCGCTCTGCCGCTGTCTGCCTTTCAAGACAAGAACCTTATTGTTGAGAACTTAAGTATCTAACAATTTGTATTGCCGTGAGAGCACAAGCTGCCGAACAACAGGATGTACTGCGTGTCGTAGCACGGCTTTAAGTTGCTTTTCCACACCGACGAGACGAGACGAGAATTGAAATATCTATGACAAAATTTATTTTCTCTCTTAGCCCATCTTCGGTGGAAATAGTCTGGATTGACGAGAATGAGCGAGAATTGAAATATTTGTTGATGAAATGTTGAACCGTATATCTGCCTGCATAGAGTATTGTACTTTGCAACGGAAACACGATTTCTCGCGCGAGCTTGCGAGTGCGAGTGTGATACGTACAATTTGAGATTTAAAAAAAGATAGCTCCGTTTCTTCTTCCGTTGACATATTTAATAATAATAATTTACGGAACATGTTAATCCAGCCGCGTGTTTATCGCTAAACGAACTGAACAGCACTAATTTGTCACAATCACAGCGCGAGCCCACGCGTGCTTTTAATTGCAATTTTTGGTAGAAATAAGCCGGCGAGATTTTAATTCTCGTTTCGCCTCACCTGTGGAAAACCATCTTTACTCTGTTAGAAGAAATGCACCTGTATTATTTACTAGAGAATAATTCTATTTTATGTTGCAATTAATAAAGTGCACCCGGCGCAGCTCGACGTCGCCCGCTGCCGCTGCTGTATCCTCGTTTGAATCTTTTATTTAAAGAAATATAACCTTATCGTGTATAAAACTTCTTCTATGTTGATACACACAGTACAGACAGCCTTGACTACAGTATGCTGCTTGTACTAGATATTTTTGGCAATATACGTACACAGATGTGTACATAATATATAAGTACACTTGACGTCCTTTTCCCATCGTGCTATATTAACAAAGTAGATACCATAGCCTACCACTTGCTGCGATGCCATCCTCATCCGCATCAATACTTTCATTTTCATACACGCAAGTTGGTAAGGGTAGGTACTCTTGACCAGGCCTTTCTTTAAGACGTCCTCAATTTGGCAAGTTCGCCTTGGTCAGTCCTTATCACGGAGTCCTTACTAACTCGCTTTATAAATCTGTTTTGTTAATATTCTTTTATTCATCCTCTTTAGGCACTTGTCTGAACACTTAATCATCTCTTTCTCTATCTTTGGTCTTTCTTGAAGGTAAAACAAAATAATATCTCATGGAAAACGCTTGAACAAATTATCAGGCAGATTGCAATGACAGACGTATTAATTAAAGGTTCAAAATTCCTACACGTAACGAACGAACGAACTATGAAGTTAAGATTGTAATCTGGCCGCTGAATGATTAAGATGAAAATTTACTTAAAAAATTTACTTGCTTAATTTAGAAACATTCCTTTGATCCAACTGAATCTGAACCAAGCTGTGGCTGTAGTCGGATCGAAGGAATTTTTCTTTGTGTTGTTAGATCTTTGTATCAATAATAATAATATGGAAATTTTATAATTAGTCCAATTTTAAACACTTGATTATGACGAGGCTGCGATTCTGCCAGAGATGCGCGATGTTGCTAGGTGGTGCGATGATGTGTAGCGGCGCTGTGAAACGATGCGACGTGTCGCACCGCAGAGATTTACGCATGACGCATCGCAAGAAATTGCGAATTGCTCCGCATCGCGCGTTTCTGCGATGTTAATCTTCTTTGTGTTCTTTTCCTATACTTTCGTATCAATAACAACAGTGCAACACTTTTTTTACGATCCATGTCGCTACCTAGTTTAAAAAATACGTTCAGTGCGGCTCATGATCGTCGAAGGAATGGTTACCCGAATCGTGGCAGTGAGATGTCTTGCCGCACGAAATCGCATCGCAGTAATTCGCGTCGTAGTTTTCTGCGTTCGCATCGCGCCGATTCGCAGTTTTGTGTTTCGACCCTTAGCTAGGCGGTGCGTGGGAGGATGCGTAGCGAAGGTGTGAAGCGGTGTGGTGGTTTCCACCAAAGCTGTGCGAGTTAGCTAAGTGGGGCGAGGGTGCGTAGCGAAGCTGTGAAACGGAGCGGTGCGAGGATGAACAGCGGATTCTTTTCAGCTGTGCACGGGTGGGGTGAGCGGAGGCTACAGCCCAGTAGCTCTAGTTCCTTAAGTTCGTTTTGCACACGTTCCTCGCTCGCGTCCCAAGCACACATTCCTCGCTCGCGTCCCTCGTACACATTCCTCGCTCGCACTCCTCGCACACATCTTTCGCATTTTTGTACAAATACACACAGAAAAGTATCTCCGCTAGCTCTTTTCCACCAGAGCTAGAACGAGGCTAGTATCTAATCTTATTGGCACACCGCCTAGTTACATCGCACATCTCTGGTGGAATAGCAACCTGAAGCTTGAAATAAGGTATGCCTTACGTTAGCTCTTCCTCGTATGGTTTGACTGTTGAAATATCGAGAAATTCCCTTTAATTTGGGGTCATCTTCCATGTCATGGCCCGCCATCGTGCTAGGATTCGTGACAGGTTGATCTGCGGTCTCAAGATTCCATTTTAAATTTATTTTGATATCTAAATTCACAGTATCTAAATATCTGGTTGAGATATTTCACTAATGTAGAATTTGAGACATTTTCGAAGTGTCATTGTTATTATTATTTTTCCCTAATGGCAGTGACTAGGCTTGAGGTAGTGTCAGTTTTAAAAAATAATATGATCATTATAGAAAAAAAAAATAGAAATGGCTGCTGCGTCGTACTGTTGTTTGAAAGTAAATAAAAATAGCCGCTTCCAATTATAAATTACCTATATTAATTTAAAAAACCGACTTCAAAAATTCGTGGAATTATATCTATTTGCAAAGTTTTGTTGAAATCGGTTACAGGGCAGTGCGCGAAACCGGATTCATCCCCTAGTTTGCCACCCTTAGAGGTGGCATATTTTCTTCAAATTTAAATGGGATCACTACTGAGGAACCCTCTTTCTACAAAAAATAATCATCAAAATAGGTTCGCACATATAGTCATAAAGGAAGTTATCGCGTAACGTACATACAAAAAAAGAAAAAAATACTATCGAATTGGGAACCTCCTCCTTTTTTAACGTCGGTTAGTAATTGACCTCATTATCACTTTCCATCAGGTGAGATGGAGGTCACTGAGGTCACAGAGGTGCACTGGGATCGTATTGCTATTTTTATTTTAAAAAAAGAACAAAAATATCATTACGTGGTCGCACTGGTAGTGCGAATAGAGGAACAAGCCAAGTTCTATATAGACAGTTTGAAAATTCTAACTGGCACAATAAGTAATAATTAGAGTTGAATAAAACAAATTTATGTACATGCATTAAATGCTTTTAATATCTTCATGTAAAAAGTTCTTATAAATTTGAAAAACTTACATCTAAGAATATCTTCAATATTTTTGATAATTCTGTTTAGTTTACCAATAAGATTCACATTCCATCAGTCACTTATCTTTGGGCAATGTCCTTAATTTTACAATCGGTTAGATAAACACTACACACTACTACAGTGCCATGTGCTAGTGTTTCAACGATGTACTTTTTGTTATATTGATTTTTATTGAATATCATGATGATATTAATTTCATTTTTTTGTGAAACTACTCCACTAGTTTGTTATAATTATTAATACAAAGGTCGAACAGGACAGGACCTACGACTGTGCCAAACCAGGGCGACCGCTTACGGCGTTAAAAGCCGTAAAACCCAATAAAAAAGATCTGTAACAAACACTTAGAGAAATTCGTAAGGTCTGCTGGCTCAGGTCCGGTCAGGTCGAAGGCATTTTTCTTTGAGTTCATACTTTGTATTAACGTTGATTTGCATTAAACAATAGGCATTAAAATTACTATGAAGAACATAAATGTGGTTATCAATTGTTCTATTGATTCCCAAAGATTCAGTCTGATTTCTTATAAAATAACAACCATTCTAAAACTCACAGGTCCTTTCATTTTTGTAAAACTAAAAACACACTATTAATCACGATGGACTAGTATTTAAACAGTGACAATATTAACACAATCTCATCAAATCTTAAAAACAGTAGTAGGTACGTAATGAAATATTAATTTTGTCCAAAAAAATCCATAAAATTTACAGCTAAGTAAGCCAAAATAATTAATGTGTTTGTTAATTAATAATGTAAATACTTTCATATTGAGTTATATTAAGTACCCAACCAATAATTAATTTGAGCACATCAAGAAAAATTAACGTTCTCTCGTAATTTAAGCTAAGACAATGCGACTCAGGTTGTCGCAAAAACGTACAATTCACAACATGAATTATTATGATATTGCCGTTTTTTCACAGAGATAGATCACAGCTAAGTTAGGGCTAGTTCAGCAGTCTAAACTACATCAGGCCCTGAATGCAAAGTTCAAAGAGAGCAGATTTCCTTATATCAAAATATCCTCTTCCCAGTCTTCCTTTTCTCTTTCGGAAACGGAAACTATAGGTCGCGTTAGCTGCTTCAGTTCTTCAAGTGTTCGCGGGGGAATGGGGTTGTCACTGAGATCTACATACTCTAAGGCTCGAGATCTAGCCAATCTGTCAACATCAATTTCTGTAATGGAAAAAGAAATTTCTTTAGAACAAAACTCATTAAAACTAGCAAGTATTTGTAATTTTAAAAATATGAGTGTCTAAGATAATTTTATCATCACAACAAAATGTTAAAAAGTTTGATGATGTCAAATTACCTAAAAAGATTAATGAAAATATAACATTAAAGTACCAATGATCTGATTGTGATGTGCAAGTACTGTTTGTAGACTAGGACACTGCGCTACGATGTAAGGTAGGGCCACAAAGGTATTGTGAGAGATGTCAAGCCGCTGCAAGCATGCAAGTGTGCATAGCTCGTCTGGTAGTTTCGCCATTTGGTTGTTCGAGAGGTTGAGTTCTGAAAAGAGTTTAAAAATTTGCTTTTTTATATTTTCATTTATTTCAATCAATTCGAATTTAAACAAAAAGTGAAATTTTTGTCATATTCATATTCCATATAGATTATATAGTGAAAATAAGAGTAATAAGGCTAAAAACAGTAGAATATAAAGTTTAAAACCATCAAGAGGTTCTTAAATGCAATGTGGACTTAGATTTGCATTTTAAAACCTCTTGAAAATTGAATCTTATAGCGCAACATAGTACTGACCTGTAATGAAATTAAATTTAACAGCAAACTTTGGTGGAATCTTAGTGATCACATTGCCACTGAGATCACAGGTTTTCAGTTCTGTGTGTCGCATAAGGTGGTACACTGCATCTGGGATCTGCATCAACTGGCATTCTGACAGATCTGAAAAGAAAGCACCAATATTGTTAGAAATCTATTTCATTAAGTATACATAAATGATGTATTATAATCACAGAAACAACATAAAATGAACTGATAGTGTGAGAACTTAGTTCTTTTTTCTGATTTCTGTTATGTGTAATATACAAGCTATCGAGAATAAATTACATAATTACAAGTTCCTAATATTCATTAACAGTCCGGTACACACCAATTATACTTTTGACACAATTTATGAATAAGCCAATTAGTCTATTGGAGCAGAAATATTGCCGAGCATTTTATGCATGTTACATTATTCACTGGTAAGGAATATTATCCAATTTTCGCAATGTTTCCAACACCGCCTGTGATTTAATGTTGGAATAGAAATTGTGTTATAATTCTATGTTACCTAAAACCTGCGTTTCCTGTGCTTCTTCGCACCTTAAAATCACACGTGTCACAGCCAAAGCCATGGTTCGTTAAACCACACGTTAGTTTCACTTGGCTAAATATTCAGAACTGCGCGCCCGTGAAGTTATTTTTAAATCTTTCTATTGGAACACTAGCTCAGTAACAAGTTAATGTGGTTTTATAAATGAAATTGTGGCCTTCCGTTCGATTCTATTGGATATGAGTACATAAGACAAATTATTTGTGTAGGTAACCTGTTAAACTTTAATCGAAAAACAACAAAATTCTTTAAAAAAGCAACTTATTCCGAAATCGATCTTTCTATTTAATTTTAATATTATTATATTAGAATTCCCTGAGCGGTGAATTCGCATGACATTGACACATTGACCATCAGCTGATTTCAACTATTGACGTTAAATTATTCCGTTCAAAATTTTTATAAGTTCGACTCGAAAACCTGCGAGTTGACCTTTATTTTTTTTACGTGCCTATTTCTAAATCTTCCTATAATGTGACGAAAAACACTATAAAAGTTTGTAGTAGTACTTAGTGCCTATCTAACAAAAATTCATGAGAAAATAAATAAATTATGCTCTTAAGTAACAGAGTACTTGGCAATCGAAAACAAAATGTATGTTTCTATTACGAAATTTTACTATCGCAATATATCACATATCGTACAGGAAAGTTAACACTGTACAGTGCTTTAGGTGAGTCATTTACCATCGCAACAAGGAAGTGTTATTTTCAGTGACCTCTATAAAAACCTGTGTGTCTCTATATAGTATAAATTGACTTGTTAAGGTCAACATGTTGGCTCCAGTATAGCTAGTTCTTGTTAATCATTGCACACGAGACTTCTAAATTCATCGTCTATTACAAGTTGTTTTCTAACAAAGGCAGCACGCAATAAAACCATGCGAGTGCGTTGCCTTCCGCGTGTTAGCGCATACGTTGAACGTTCTATTTAGGTATGTCTTCTGGGACTTGTCTTCCGCAAGGCGATCTATCGGTAGACAGGGTCGATGTGTGAAATGTAGGAAATTAGATATGAAAGTTGAAACACATTCGAGCGCAATAAATGTTTTAAACTAACTAAAGGAAATATTCTATTAAATGATGGTAAGTATAATAAAGTTATGCAAAAGTTACGTAATCATCACTTTCAATAATGAAGCAAAGTATCTAACTCTGGCAGATTTTAGCAAAGTACTATAAATAAACATACAATTATTGTATTACACATATTCAAAATCATACAACGTGGCAGTGTTCAGAATACATCAATGAGTAAACTGCGCAAAAGAGTTTCCTTTCGTTCTCCAAAATAGCGGACTAATAATAGAAATTGCGTCTTACTACGGCTTGGCCAACATTTCCACGGGAATGTGCCATATTTTTTAGTAAAATGAAGGTTACAGTGAATACGAAAACAAGTTTACTTTCAATAGCAATTTTATGAAGTCCTGATTTCCTGATTTAGTTTTCATTTGAATATCTTGGCTACTCTCCAAGAAAATCGCGTCAATGAAAAAAAATAACAAAGTACCTAGTCATATCATATTCAGGCAGTTTACTTCGTCATTTGGTTCAACAAACTTTACGAAGATTTTAATTTAATTGACTAATAAATTGTGAATTCATGCCATATTGTTTTTTACTCAGAACTACATACATTAGTTGGCGTGACGGGGTAAATTGTTCTACGAAAACGCTCTACAGGCCTAATAATTAAGCCATATGAAATTAAACCGCGCAACAAAGGCCAATAAGTGTGTACCTACCAGATTAATTCGGCCTCGGTTTGTTTCACAATTTTTACGCGATATCTTCGTTGGTTTACGAAAGTTAAATGCAACAGTCATTTTGTAGCAGCTAACGTTGCGTAAAGGAGAAGCATATTTCGCACAATTATACCGAACCGTGAAACACATTCTAACATTTGTCTTATTTTTAAATAAGTGTAAAATCTACACTTATTCTAAAGCATTCGAGGCTTGTTAACTTTTTATTGTTGGTGGCTGTATACAATACAATAAGATAAGTATGCGTCATGGTCAAAGTAAGTAGTAAAAAGTTAACCAGTAGAAAGTTTGTTACGCGGTCGGAAAAAAGTTTGAAACTAAAGAAAATTAGGTAAGAACCATCTCTGACTGAGGTTCAGTTTTATTTTTAGTGAAATTGAAATAGGTTTTATTTGGTTCCGAACATAATTTTTGCTAGTCAATTTGAGGTTTCGTCACGAGAATTAGTTAATTCGACGCACAGAAATATTTGAAAAGGCTGATTAAAACTTAATATGTAAACCACGTTTCTTCATTAACATTTAACTGAACTTCAATAGATGCCAATTATTAATACATAACATTATACCTACCAACATCCCTGATTTACATATTTCATGTCATCATAGCTATGATATATTACGTCTCGAGATACCTACTATAATTCAATAAGCGTCTATGGTACGTTCACACTAGTATCGTATGGGTATGATGTGCGTTCGACAAATCGCGAAGTGGAAACTAGGCTATTCGGTAACATGTTACACAAATAATTGGGAAACGCATGTCTTGCGTATCGAGATACGGAATTTGAATTTATACTAATTGATGCGAAATACTGAACTTAATTTAGACATAAATCGTCTCTTTACATTTCATTGGTATGTTGAAATGTTTGAAACTACCTAAATTGCTTTTTTCAACCTATATCATCTTGAAAGGATGAGGTTTTCAATTCGACTGTGTTTTTTTTGTGTATATATTACGCGATTTGAATGATTCTTTTCTGTTGGAAGGGGGATATCTCAGTAGTGGTCCCATTTCTAATTTAAAGAAAATATTCCACCTTTGAGGGTGGCACAGTGTATGAATCCCGCAGCTTGATTTTGGTTGCCTCTCCCGATCGGAAACTGCGTCTTTTCCGAGTTTTCCGAGAAACTTTTGATATTTCAAATCATAACAATAGTTGATTTAATTCACAAATTAGAAAGATATAGTAGGAATCAGGTCCATTTTCTCGCTCAGACCCATCTGATTTCGGGATTACCAGATCTGTTCATTGGATTACACGCACTTTCCATTAATAGATTTCAATAAACTTGCAAAATATATATCATTTCACAAACTATTGAGGTCGGTTATTTTAAATAAATTTTTTTTTTTTTTATAAATAACGCGCACACTCAACATAGCCCCGCACTAGGTAAACCCTGTGTCGCGGGTGCCATGGACACACATATAGACAACCACAAATTACACCCAAACTCACGAGAGAAATAATTGTAGGCCATACAAACATTTCTCCCGGCCCGGGAATCGAACCTGGGACCTCTGCGTGGCAGTCCGGCATGGTAACCGTTCGGCCACAGAGGCAGTTAATAAAGTAGTTTACGAAATATTTTTTTCATTATTATGATAATCAAGTAAACGGGACGAGTAAGTCGTGCGCCTGGTGGTAAGGGATACGCCTACTCATAACAATTCCTGTGCTACAAAGATCTGAGGAGTGCCATATCTATTGAAGTCTTTTTCCATCCTCTAAGATGGGAATGCCGCTGAGCCTGCCACCCAGACACATAAGTTGACAAGACCCACGTGCCTGCAATTTCACTTATCCTTATAATGTTCTACTAACTAAAACTCGGCTAAGTGACAATTGCTCAAATATCCGTTTTAAATAGAAAAAGATAGAGCACAAAATTCTCTTTTAAAAACCGTTAAAATTAGTTAACGTGTTCGACTTGTCGGAACTTACCCTGACGATGGATAGCTGAAATATCATTAAAAATTTTAATATTCTAAAACTAGGTTATGGTTTTTTATTATATCTACATATATCTCACAAAAATATTTGTCTGTTAGCCACGTTTTGATAAGCGGGCGGGAGTGTTCACATTATCTACTGCTTGGTGACTGGAATAGGTACGGTGGCAGTACTTCCTTGGACGAATTCTATCACATGGATGTCTACTGGTATTAGTATCTGCGTTATTTGCAATATGTTTTAGTACCTTACCTATGTCTGCCGCCAAGCACTAATGTGAGCATTTCTGCGTTCCGATTTTGAAGAGATTTATCAACCTATGTCTCAGGGTGACGGGCGCCCCGGGCGGCGTCGTGGTGAATGTTTACTGATGCCACGGCGCCGACTCAACCGGCGAGAGGGAAACCCGGGGGGGTTTTAGTGGGGTAGGCCTTCCAGTGTGGAGGGAGAGTCCCCACATAACCCCTGAGTCTCCCTGGGCTCAGGGGTATCCATAAAGATTTCCCCCCGTCAAAAAAAAAAAAAAAAAAAAAAAGGGTGACGGGCGCTGTGACAGTGCTTCTCAGATCTTTGCGTTTTAAAGCTCTGGGTGGCAGTTGCAATCGGACAGTTGCAGAACTGTTATGGACAGGCGTGTCGCCGGACTGCCACGCAGAGGTCCCAGGTTCGATTCCCGGGCCGGGAGAGAAATTTTTAGGGTCTATATTTATTTCTCTTGTGAGTTTGGGTGTAATTTGTGGTTGACTATGTGTATGTCCATGGCACCCGTAACACAGGGTTTCCCTAGTGCGCGGCTATGTTGAGTGTGTGCGTTATTATTATTATGATTATTAAAAGGAAACAAATTGGTTGGTAAATTAATGAACAAATTTTCCTGAAAGTAATAATTACATTAATCCTCAAAGTATCGATTTTATGAATCGACCATACCTATTTTCGCGAACGTTATTAATTATGTCTGGATATTAGCAGGAAGCCGAAGCGTATCGTGAGATCATTCCAAACAATGCTAATAAATACAAGGATGAAAACGCATTTTACTTGAAGAGTAACGAAATTCTAGGGAGAAGCTAAAAAGATAGAGGCGAACATTTTGCTCTAGGTATTCAGTATTCATTAATATAATACTGTGGCTTGGTATCTACAAGAAGTGTTGAGGTCCATATTAGTTATGCATTATTTACGCACTCTTTAGCACTAGTTTAGAATATTTTTCGGATCTAATTCGCGTATAGTTTTTCCAAACAAACGAACGTTTCTCCTCATTCAACGTTTGACGATTGATGATGGACCTGTAAAGGGCCCGAAACTTCGGTTTGTTTGTGGAAACAAATATACGCAATATAGATCCAAAAATAGTACTTCCTTATTTTAAATTTTCTGTGATGATCCGTCGTATAGTTACCATTTGTTTTCAATTTTATTCTCCCTTCACTTAATTATACTATACAATAATTTTTATTAATGCATAAGGTAAAACTTTTACGTTCTCATATGACTCAATGGGATAAACCTGTTAACAGCTGCGTAACTCCAAAAAGTGATTCATTCTCTTTCAAGAACTGTGATGAAAGTTTCCATTGCATAAACAAATACGTCTATGATTTTAATCGGTAATTATAATAATCGCTTATCGGAGCCGACAATCGGTAAACGATTGTTGTGGATGAGATATTGTTTTATAAATAAATAAAGGAGGCATTGTTATAACGATAGTGTGGGGAGAAGATATGATGAAATTAGTTCCGGGTGTACCGAAGAAATACATCAAGTGAGACATACGTATCTATATGTGTAATAAATAATTTCAGTATATATATTTTATTGTTGTCTACTGTCTGGGAAACCCAAGGGCTGGCAGCAATCTAGCCCAACGCATTAACTTAGCTATACAAAGGGGGAATGCTTCTAGCATCTTGGGTTCCTTGCCGCGGGGACCCAATTTTATTCATAAAATTGAATTCTAGTTTTGGTTTCTAGTATTTAAGCTTTAATTACCTTATTTGCATATTCTAACTTATTGTCTAATAAATAATCATTAAATTAATTTATTTTGTTGTTTATGAGAATGAAATTAAATTCTTTTAGATAAATGCTAACCTAATCACTTTAAAGAATAATTATGAATTCTTAAATTCGAGTGAACGTTTTACCTTGTTCTACAAAACGTACAACGCATACATTTACTAAAATCAGCTTATCTATGAGAAACTTAGAAGTTATTTTGCGTTATGTTCTTAATCTAAACAAATGTATATAGCACGGTCGTATATCATCCATTTCTTCATTGACAGAGTTTATCGATCTTATATATATATAGTAAATTGTAGTTTTGAGACTTGTTTCTTGTTAAATGTCATCTAAGTATAGTTGTCTATTTTAATGTTCCACATTAGTAAACATTATACGTGCTCGCTTTATAATTCTGAGGCGTATCTCTACTAATGTACGCAATTTCAAAGATAAGAGTTAACACTTGTTTATTTACTAGCAAAATTTGTGTTTACAATATACACAGCGCCTCGTTGTAATATGGAATTGTGTCAGCATGACCAGATTTGGAGAACCTTTTGTTTAAAAAATATTTACAAAAACGGTTATTTTTTTAAAATAGGATTCCTGCATACATTTAAAGAGTTAGTAGATCAAATTTACCGTTACTTGCCTAATGAACTATCATCATCGAAATTTCTAAAATATTGACTCATCCTCACCTATTATGTTGTTGATTGCCTATACATATATAATATGTAGGATTTCTCTTTGTAGAAGTCGTACGTTGCATTGTTTGGCTCAACAATCTACTTACCTACTTTCGGTATACGTTGTTATACCCGACTAAAATAATAGAGTTTATGGTACACTATGAATTTTAAGTGAGGAGTTTAAAGAACTTGCTATTTATTATTTTTAGGCAGTATTTAAAATATAAAGCCACCTTACCAAGCTGACTATTCTCTTGAGCATCTTCACACCGGGCTACGACCCTAATGATAGCTCGCCCGGCTAACCTGGCGCAGATCATCATGGCAGGAGCCCGTGGATCAACTTCTTCCGCCTCAGCAGGCATCCTCGTATTGCTATCCAATTCCGATGGTGGCCTCATCACTGCACTCAACAACAGTCACTGCCAGTCACTGCACTTCTGAGTCCGGCCTCACTGCTCAAGTGTCACGAAGACTTTTAAAACGATCTGTTACACGAGTGTTCAAGGTTCATCCACTACCGTTCCGAAACGCAAAGCGCCTGGGTGCACGGCAGAACAACGTTAAATTCGAGCGGCGCGTTCGCGCACAGCCTTTATATCTTCGCCAAAACAAAGAAGCGTGGTGCGCGAGCGAGAGGCAACAACAACAAACTCCCAACTCGCTCGCACTGTCTGCTGCGCAGTTGACGGATGCACGAGGAAAATATAGTACATTTCAAGGGTCCTCTCATCACAATACAATGAAAACACGGTTCCTGTCGTCATAAATAAAGCTCATCATTAGTTTCCACGTTTTCGATTGAAACGATCGTCACGTTCTCTTTTAGAGACATTGTGTGTGATCTCAGGATCCGTTATCAGATCAATTGTTTGAAGTTCAATAATCGGCGGAAAGAGTGCAATGCCTGACGATCGGGTCGATGTGAAAGGATGGGCCAAATACGATTTTCCAACCTAATTCACAATGAGCAGTGCGTGTCGCTGCGAGCACGTATGTTGCAATTTGTTACGGCCGCGCTTGACGTACGCTCTTTATTGCTATAATTCTAAAAGCGATTTTAGACAACTCTTCTGCCAATACAAATAGAAATAAGTGCTTTTATAAGTTTTGATAACTATTATGATACGGCAGGATTCGAGAGGCCTTCGTCCTGGAGTGGGATAATCTCTGTATTTCTTAAATATTTTAATTTAAAAGGTATCTGTATAGTTTCTATTTAGGTATATATTTATCAACAGTTTTGTAACGACCTTGTGTAATGTTTGGTATAGGTACGTATTAAAGTCTTTCTAATTAAATTGTTGTAGAGATCGTGAGTTCAATAATAATAACATTATAATAATAAATATGATAACAGTTACAACAGTTAATAATAAAGATTTATTATTATTTTAGAATCTTTCGCTTCTCCCAAGGCCTAAAAGATTAATTTTGAATTTTTAAATGGGAGAGGCTGTATTTCAGGTTCAAGAACCGGCGAACAATACGTGCCATATAGAGCAGAACCGCCTTCTGCATCTGTGCTGAAAACGACACGCCACGGAAGTCCAACCACCTCAAGCTGCTAGCAAGTCTGACTGGAGTAAACCCATTTGCGCACAAAACAATTATTATTATTATTATTATTATAAAATATAACACAGTGGTTAAAAGTTAAAATAGTGGATAAAACCAGTCTACAGGAAGAGATAAAAAAAATGGAAAAAATAATATTCCCCGGCCGACTGTGCCATTGTCGGGGAATACAGTTTCTTACATTTAAAAAATTAAAATTAAGGTCATTTAGTCCATGGGCGAGGCGAGAGTCAAAAAATAAAAAACACAAATATTTTTTTTATTTCTCACCACAATACAACGCACTTGAAACTAAATAAGTACAGTCGTAACTAAAAAATTGGTGGAATTGAGAAAACATAAATTGGAAGTTTAAAAAAATACTGAGTTTGAGGATCCTATTGGGAATAATGTGATTAATACTTAGTTAGCCTTTAAAAAAATAAACGAGAATATAAAATCGGTTTCACTTAATTTTTTGAACTTTCAAATCGTGTTTTTTTGATTCCACAATTTGGAGTTGCGACGTATTTGATTTCATGTGCGTTATTAAAAGTAGGTACTAACTACATATGATAATACATATTGAGGGAGACTGATGCCTAAACTAGGCACATGGCCTGATACCAGGACACCCCTTGGGATATAACATTTTTATTGGCACATTTGAATGGTGATAACATTATAATTATTATAATTTTCATTAAATTAATATTATAGGTAATTGGAAAATTTATGAATTCATTTCTTGTAGGACACAGATTTTTTAAATGCGTTTGCGTCACGTAGAAGTTTTGACGTCCGCATTCGATCGTTCAACGCACTATTATCAGATTGTTGGCCAAAGAAAGACGCAAATTTCCATCTGAGATAACCTTGAATTCCCGCCAGAAAGTGCTCGTAGTCCCGTGCTACGGTTAATATAAATCTATTTATTTAAAGAGGTTATAAACGGGCGATGTTGTAAAATTCAGAACGCAACAGACGATGTTTTTTTCATAAATGTTTACAAAACATGTGGTATATAAATCATTATGGTAAATACGGGCTTCCATTTAAGTACCTGAGATAGGTAATTTTTTTCAAATTCATGCGTAACACATTAAACTCACTTTATTTATACACAAAAAATATCATAGTAGAACAACATTAACGTGGAAAATTCTTATTCACCTACTTTGAGTCAAGATGTTTCATCAGCATACAAATTTAAAGTAGAATGATTAACAGTAACGGCTCCATTTCTAATTTCGTGTAACATGTTTTCTGGTTTCAAAATTAATGTTGAGATTTTACAACAGCATTTATTAACACACCTTAATGAGGAACATTAGACAATATTCAGTGTGAGTTTTCAGAACATCAAATTTATTAACCTAATTTGAGTATAGTACATATATCGCAACCCTTACGGAAGAATGGGATAACTGAAGTTACATCAAAATTGTTTATTGCTCCATTAGATACAGAAAAATATAACCCACATCCTCAATAAACATTTTTGACGTAACTTCACTTATGCCATTCTTCCATGATAGGTGCGATTACAAACGGCATAATCAAAAGTCGTACACGTTTTCACTAAGTCTTTAGCTTATAAACCAGGATATACGCAAAGAAAAACCATACAGTCATACTTTCTTGTATGCTTTCTTCGATCTATCGCAATTTGTTCCACCATTCATTGGATGGTGTGTCTCCATTATAGCTTTGAACGCACAGTTGAGTGCGCTATGTGCGCGCTCGTTGACGCACCAACTTTTCCGTCATAACGCGACCGCTGACACTTCCCAGAAGTTTTTTCACCACCGCAAAACTCGAGGTCGATCCTTTGTGCTATTTCAGGAAAACCTGGAATCGCGCCAGTTCCCTTTTGGACGAATTTTCGACGCAGTTTGTAATGCGCACAGTTCTTTGATCCCGTTTACTTACTCTTCAAAATCGATCTTTAGTCTACTCACATACGACTCAAATTAGTAAAGCATTTTAATAAATAATAACATTTTGAACCGAACCGTAGCTGTTCTTTGTTTAGACAAAATCCAGATGGAAATATTGCCCACGTTTCTCCAAAATCTTAAATAATGATATGTTTTCCGACGTTTTCAATGTTAAGGCTGATGTATTTTTCCTGCCGAGTGAGTGAAGAAATTTTGTTCGAAAATAAACATTCAAAGTCAAGAACCTTAAGGGAGATAGAAATTAATGTATAAAGTATTCATGAAGTTTTACGACGGAATTTTCAATATAGTACTTTTGGTGTAATCAGGCCACAACTGCCAAACACAACAACTTCTCAAGCGATAGATTTATAGATTCTACGAACGAAGTTGGTCGATAACATTTTTATATTTAAATAAGAGAGTTTTAAAATTTATCAAAGTTTAATTTAAATCATCTTAATCTTTATTTCATAGGTAAGCGACTTAGACTTGAAATCGTCAAATTGTTTAAACTGTTCTACTCATTCGTAAGGCAGATTCCCCTGAGAAGAATGAACAAGAAACTCTAGAGTATTGTAGCTCTTTGTAAATAAACATTAAACTTTATCATTCACAATATTTTATTTCAGATTTTTATGACTTCCATGTGATTAAACACTTTTGGCGTATGTCTTTTGATTTTGATTTTGATTACATGTCGACGGAGTTTTGTAGAAACAGCGAACGCGCCATTTCGAAATATTTTTCAGGGGAGCAAGTTTTAGTTTTTCACGACCGTTCCAAATACTTAAATCGTTTTAAATTCAATTTTAAAACTTAAACTTAATTCAAACCAAAATAGAATTTAAAAACAGAACGTAAATATCGAGTTCTTAGGTTTTCGCGATTGTTACACATAGGACGTAAATATTTTAAAATAGTCGTTAAAACCTGAAACACGCTCCCCTGAAAAAATTTTCGAAATGGCGCTTTCGCCCTTTTTACAAAACATGACGTGGCTTTGTTATACCAAGAGCATGATTTGTGGTAAACCACGCGCTAATGTAGAGATACATTATTAATTTGTAATTTTCTTGTAGTTGTAGTTATATCCATATCCGACACAGTTCGTGACGGATATAGGTACTGCGAAGCGATTAGCCGAAAACAGTTTTGCCATTAGTTAAACCATTGTGCCAGTTATGGCATAGCCTTTACTTCCGTAGCAAAATGTACGTTTGTGAGCCAATTAACACGCATTGTACTTCTCGTGATGTCTTAACAATGGACCACAATAAAAAACTCGCGTCGGTTCAGAATACCTACTATTTACGCATCTGCGTCTGTTTATATTTATATTCCGTATTAAAAAATAGAGCGCTTGTTTTGATTGTCCATGCTTAGTCGTTAAATAATCGAAGATTACTAGAAATACCTGTTTATTACGATAGCGGTGGAATATTACAAAAGTGGGTAATCGCGTTGTGGCAACTGGTGACTTTTGGCCCTTTCATAGCATGACAGTTACGCCATTGTCTCTTACTGCAACCATCAATTAGCCATGGCCGTGACTGCAGGTGCCTATGGTTAGTACTTTCGAATCATCGATTGGAACCATCAGTAACCGGCGTCAGGAAGTACATAATGCACGCTGCGCTGCATAAACGAGTTCATCAAGGCGAACTTGTGAATTGGGTTGAAAGGAATGACAGTGTTTTGTTTTAATTATCAGTTGTTACGTAGACGATAATGGATAATAGCAAGTGTATTATCATAACTATTTATCAAATCGTGAGTTTAGGTCAACACTTGCGTAAAGACTTATAGACAGGTTATAATGGTTGGGTGATCGAAAGAAATTAAAATTTGTAAAGAAAACGAGAATATCACAACAATCAATAATAGTTTAATGATATCAAGTAGGCGCAGGGCTGGGCTGCGCGCGTAGCTGGGCAACTTGTGCGGCTGCGCAGCAGTGCAACATCAACGCCGTTAGTGCGCATGCGCGGCCTTCGGCTGAGTCGTCACCTGCGCCACCGGCGTCCTCTGCTGACAGTTCCTCGCGGACTGCTTGCAACTGTAAACAAATGTCAAAGAATGAAGACCTGTATCATGGTGTGTTGGTGACTTACAATTTTGAGTGTTAGTTTTGGGAAAATTTATATTATAGTGACATATCGAGTTCTGAGATTTTCGCGACTAGTATACGTAGGAAATGAAACTATTTTTTCGGATCTACTGGTGACTGACTGGTCATCCTTGACCATGGGACCTGTAAAGGGCTCGAAACGTTTGTTTGTTTGAAAAAAAAAACAAATAAACGCGATTTAGATTCGAATAATGGTTATGACTTTTTTAATTTTTATTGAATGTCAGAATGTTTCATCACCATGATATTTAATAATTTTTTGTGTAATTACTAAAAAGTCTAAAAAGTCGTTGAAAAACCAAATACAAAGATCCGACAACAAGCACATAGAAAAATTTGTCAGGTCCGCTGGTTCGTTCCGTGGCTTAGTAGGCATAGCGTCTGGCACGGTTTACTAGGAGACATCGGTTCGAATCTGACCGGATCGAAGGAATTTTTTCTAAATGTTAATTTTTGTATTAACAATTTTAACTTTTTTGTTAAAAAACCGACCTCAAACGCTTGTGGAATTACATCTATTTACCAAATTTTATTGAAATCGGTTAACGGAAAGTTTTACTTAATTATTTATATTTTTATGATACTTAGTGACGGGACGAACAAGTCGTGTGCCTGATGGTAAGCTACACGCCTGTCCATAACAGTGACAGTGCCACTCAGAGCTTTAAATTGCAAATACCTGAGGGGCATTATCACTGCGCCCGTCACCCTGAGACAAAAGTTTACAAATCCCATGTGCTTGTAATTTTACCAGCACTTTTACCCATCAAAACCGGAACATGCTGACGTTACTGCTTGGCAGCAGAAATAGGAAAGGTAGCAGTACTACTGCCGACCAGAGCATTGTGGTGCGGCCAGAGTGCGACGGCATAGAGTTTGTAGAGGATGAGCAAAACATTCTCTGGTCCTTTCAGCCGCGTAGGTTTCTGGGACCTGGAGAGACGCTTCGGCGTCGGGAAGTGACCGTGTCTTACAGCTCCACCACCAAAGAGGAGATTTGGTAGTAGACTAGAGCCGACAGCTTAGCAGTGCAACCATTGGTTGCACCGGTACCTATCTGGAAAATTGAGAGGGTGCTGTGCGTGCACCCGGTACAGCTAACCAAAGGCACTACCCTTTTGAGGATCGGATGAAGTCTTTGCGAATGGACTGATCTGGGGTCAGGTCCTGACTGAGAAGGTCCCTGTGCGGGTTCGCTTGCATAGGTTATAGTGCCCTTCCCGTAAAACCAAGAGGTTGATACGGAGGACGACTATAAACAAAACTATTGTAGAAAATAACGGGGCTGACCAAGTGATAACCACTAATTTGTTACTACTGATCCCTATTGATCACTTTCCAACAAAAACAGGATCATGGAAAACAATTCAGGGAACATCCAAAAAGAGAATACAGTCGAATTGAGAACCTCCTCCTTTTTGAAGTCTGTTAAAAATAAAATAATTTACTATTGATAGTGACAATTTAGTGTAGGCATAGAAATTCTCACCATTTCGTGTATCTGCTGCGCAGAGAGACGCGCTGCGAGTTCAGGTGCGGAGTCCCTGGCAGCCGCGAGCAGCGCGTCCGGCGGGAGCGCGCTGCGCAGGGCCGGCTGCAGCATAGCCATCACCGCGCCGCCACCCCCCTCCGCGCCCCGCTGCAGCCACGTCGCCCCGCACCCGGAGAACGGATTGCCTAACTGCTCCAGCGACTGCTTCCTGTGACATGGAACTTAAACGTGAAAAATTGTTGCCGTTGTCGTATCCTCGCTTTGCCATGGTGTTACAATAAAAAATATTTAAACAGAAATGCTTGGAAAATTCTTGTTTATCAAGACAGCTTTATGTAGGGTTGCCAGAAACCCTAATTAGTAATTCGGGTAAAAAAGGCCGAACACCCCACATTTTTAAGGATTTTGTGTTGTAGTTTTAATATTACAATTTTTGTTTTAAATAAAGTCATGCTTTTTTGACCAAAAATCATCACCATCATCAACCCATTCCCACTGCTGGGCAGGGGTCTCCTCCCAGGCGAGTGTTTAGGCCATAGTGTGCCACGCTCAGCCAATGCGAGTTGGGGACTACCTACATTTTCCAAGGGTTGTGAACCTTCATCACGATGTTCTCCTTCACCGAAAAGCTCATGGTAAATTTCAAATTAAATTAAATTTCGCACATAAATCCTAGAAACTCAGAGGTGCGAGCCCGGATTCGGACCCACGGCTTCTTATTGAGAGGCGGTAGGTCAAACCCTTAGGCTACCACGGCTTCGAAATATCTTCTTAAATTCTAAAAGCATAACAATAAAATAGAATTAATCAATCTTCTTTATTATTAATCATCTATTATTGCAATGGCTAATCAACCCATTTTTTCCATATTTACGCTATCCATCAAAATCAAAATTAAATACAACAAAATTTGGTCAAACATAAATAGCTTAACAAAAGATATAGAAGCCGAACACCTTCTAATTTGGCCGGATAAGCATCTAAAAAGCCTATGTCTGGTTTTATACGGTCGCTTCCCAACGCTAGCTATGTACATATATTTAGTAGCAGTAGAGCTCCTTGTGAAAGAGTTCGTCCAGGGCACAACTGCACCTTATCTATTTCTGCCGCCAAGCAGTAATGTCAGCATTACTGTGTTCCGGTTTTGAAGGGTAAGGGTGAAATTACAGGCACATGGGACTTGTGAACTTGTGTCTCAGGGTGTCGGGCGCAGAGGCAGTTTGCCTAAATTCTTTGCGATTTAAAGAGCTGAGTGACACTGCAACTGTTATGGACAGGCGTGTTGCTTACCATCAGGCGCTCGACTTGTTCGTCCCGTCATTTGAAATTAGATTGAAAAAAAAAAATTTGATAACTTGATGGTTACCAACATACCTGGGTGTATGACTTGGAGAAGGGGGCAGTGACCGGGAAGAGGCGCAGGATTTGGGGGCTGACAATGAGTGCGCAGAGCCTGCTCGCCGCAGCCCTGCCACCAGCGCACTCATTGCTCCGCCACCTGAGGAAGTATATCCTTAGGTTGTACATAAACCACCAGGTACCTATTGCGTCATCCACACACGTGGTACACAGGTTAAAGTAATCCTAAAGATTGTTTTAAATAGATTGGCGTACTATTGGTAAGACAGTATTTTTAGTAAGCGATAATTTTATTACATTCAGGTTTACTATACGTAGGTATTAATGAAATTTAGTAGCCGTAGAGCTCCTTGTTAAAGAGTTCGTCCAGGGAAATACTGCCACCTTACCTATTTCTGCCACTAAGCAGTAGTGTGAGCATTACTGTGTTCCGGTTTTGAAGGGTAAGGGTGCTGGTGAAATTACAGGCACTTGGGACTTGTCAACCTAGATCTCAGGGTGACGGGCGCAGTGCCCCTCAGATTTTTGCGATTTAAAGCTCTGAGTGGTGCTGTAACTGCTATAGACAGGCGTGTCGCTTATACCAGGCTTACGACTTGTTCGTCCCGTCACAAAAACTTGAATAGGTACTTTGCGTACTTACTGATACGTTAATGCGTTTATCAATTTATTCTCTTGTATAACAATAAATTAAGAAACTCTACTTTTTCATGATCAAATATGGTAATAACGAAAGAACTTCCGGTAACTTCCGTTATTACCATAATTTGGTCATGAAAAAATGATATTTTGGCAATACAGGGTCGATGGCGAGAAACGCCATTTACATTCGCAATGACAAATCTACTCCTCGAGGATGGGTAGTCGTCGCGATATCGGGTAGGACGCTTTCGCGTACGCTCCGGGCGCACTAGATGGGGTTGACACGCTATACTATCATTTAGTTTGAATTTTAAGCAATAAGTCTTTTAATTTACTACACAAGGATTGTGTAACGATTACATTATTTTTTAAATTTATTTTAGAGTGGGATTTCATTGAGAAATTCTTCACGTTTTTTACGATGATAGTTATTACTTTTAAGTTGCTACCATCAGTCGTTGTTAACCAGAGCATAAAAGGACAAACTTAAAATAAACATTCTTCAGAAATCCTAGACAGTGTTATGTAGAGCATTTCATATAAAAAATACATCGAAATTCGTTCTTGGAGTTTGGTTACCAAAGAAAATCGACCTCTTCTAATCTATGTAGATGATTATATACATTTTTAATGCTAAGAATAGCTCTCTTTTCATGAAATAAAAAGGTAAAACACCGAAAACGAGTAAATACTCATTAGTGTTGCCAGATGATTATATTTCTTACATTTTTCGTAACTTTAAAGCTTCTCTCTTCTGTTTTTGAGGCAATTTTTGTAACTTTTGAGAACAATGACTTTTACAAAATTCAACTATAGGTATATTTGTTTTTGTAAATCCTAAATAGCTTACGAATGCACCCAAATTAGACACTAAAGTAACTCAGAGAAGGCGCAGCGGCGCAAACAAAATGATATCAACCAAAATTACTTGTTAGAACTTTGCTTTTCTTGAGCGTACCAACTTATTTGATTTTTTTTGAAGATTTATGCGTATATAAATATATATCGTTTATAATTAGAATTTTTGACTAAAAAAAAATTTAAATTTCATTTTTGTAAAGTCAATGTTTTTGCAGCAAAAATGTAACGTTTGAGTTAACAAAACATAATTTTCGACTCAAGGGCCCTGGCAACACTGATACTGATCTACATACGTAACATACATTGTGTGTATACATTTGTTTTTTTGTTATACATTTTGTTTGTTGTGTGTATATATATAATACCAGCGTCATGGGAAACTGCGGCATTTATGCTGAGCCAGCGCCTTTTCACTGCCAGGACTTCCAAAACTATTTAGTTATATCTGGTTCAATATAATAATAATTATGGTATTAGTTTTAGTGGATCCTATGTAAATAAGTCATGGAAGTGAATAAAATTTTTATCTATATATCAATCTACGTTACAAATATAATAAATATCACACACGGAAGGCGGTTGTTACGGTCAAATTGGACATTAAAGGTGTTATATACTGTAAATTCAGAAACGTATATATAATGGCGGTGTGTGACGTCATTTGCTGTCTTCCAAGCAATTGATGCAATAAATTGTAATTTATTTAGCTTTATTGCCGTAGTGCACGTCAGTACGCACATATAAGAACGTAACTAAATTCCCTATATGGTAAAAAGGCGGCACTACTGGTGTATAATAAAATAACACAACAGACACTAAAGATCAGGTAGGAAAAGGTCACATATGTAGCGCAATTAAGTATAGGGTTCTATTTGTGTATAATAGACAAAAAATATATACAGGCTGTTAATTTAATTTTGTTACAACAGAGAGGGAGTGTTTCCATCCATTAATACAAACAACATTTACTACGAGAAATCGAGATAAATATATCAGCTGTTCCATACTAATTGCTGTAGGTGAGAAGTAAAGGACCTCATGTCCATAGCTTGGGATTTACATGTTTTTACAAACATTGCTTTAGGATAGGAAATGAAACTATTTTTCCGGATTTAAATCGCGTATATTTGTTTTTTCAAACAAACCGACGTTACGGGCCCTGTACAGGTCCCATGGTCATGGTTGACTGAGGTGGTACAGTCTTCAACCAGTTATGTCTAATACTGATGCAAACTACCCTATTTTTTCACTATAGTTACAATAGTTATTAATAAAATACCTTATTTTTAATTTTACGAAGAAAACATTTGAAAAGAATGAAAAGAACTCGATATTGCTTTAGGATGCTAAAATTTTGCAATGGTAAAGATATTATGCCCTATTGTTGTTTGTTCTTTATTTAATATATTTTATTTGACATTAAGATTCATTTTCAATGCCTAATTAAGGGCCTCTTTTAAACGCTCTGTAGTAAAAATTACTATTTGGCACTTATGGTTTTTTACCTCTCACCTACAGAATGTTATATACAGCTATTTATTTCTGCGAATTTAGAAATTGGCATCAACCTTTTGGATGTAAAGCAAATATTATGTTAACACCCAGTATATATACACATACAGAAATCACGGGTACCTACAGGTAGATCGCTTCAGGAACAACACATTCGGGTAAAATACAAGCATCCGAACTACCAAAGAAATCAGAAGGAATCATGAAAACATAATCACATAGACTTTGTGTACTAAATAAAAAACCTTAGAAACGTGTGGCGTGTCCAGTCGTGCTAACAACGCGGTACCGCCTTTCGTCAGCAATCGTACAATTCGTCTGTGCAGAAACAAAATAGATAAATAAATATATAAAAAAACCGTCAATGCCACCAATTTATTTTTACCCACGATTGGAGAGTAGGTTATAACATAATACATTTTTAATTGGAGAATGTGTAAGATTCATACGATTGGTCAATTGATGACGCGCACATCGCTTTGGTCAATTTGATTATAAATGTTGAGTAGTGGAACTATTGTCAGATTAGATTAGATTATTTATTTCTCAAATATAATACTACAGTATAAATTGCACTACATGGTCAAAGTGTAAGAAATTATGTCGAGATCGTCATAAAAATACACTCTAATTAATAAATAAATAATGACTGTGTATTTTTCATACATAATATAATAATATAATATAATATCAATAATTTAATTGTTAATACACAATAATTATAAAATTTATCTTCATCAAGGATCGTCACAAGTTAATAACAAATACATGACACGAGTAAATAGTCCAAAAGTATGTCCATGAAATAAAAATTTAATACAAAATACTCAAAAGTGTTACATTTGAAGGTCCTTAAATTCATTTCATTTCATTCAGTATAAAGGGTTCTTCAAGAAAAGGTTTTTCAGCTGGCGTCAGTGGCGGATTTGAAATTTTGGCCACCTTAGGCCCTAGGCCATGCAGTCAGTACCAGCTGCCCCTTTCTCAGCACTCATCATATACTGGTAGGTAGACTACATAATGAATTTACTTTATTACTAACTTTTATTGAAATCGATTTAGAAGTTTAGTAACTATAATAGCTGCTAGTTTTTAATATTTTCGGAGGGTTCAGATTAAAATAAAACATTTAAAACGGTTTTAGGTTTTATTTATTTAACTATGGGTTCATTCTCATACAAAATTAGATATATATATTTTATACATAAAATGTACGCAAGATATTTAGGAAGATTATTGTTGTAGGAGGCGTTTGAGGTACTTTGAGTTATGTCTTGTGATCATCAGTGAATTTTTTGTCACAATTGGCAGCCCCTAAAATCTGGCCGCCCTAGGCCCGGGCCTACTGGGCCTTAGGGCAAATCCGCCACTGGCTGGCGTCTAAATAGAAACAAATCAATGGCAACAAAAAGTGTATTAAAATAAACGCAAAAATAGTGGAGTTACCAGTGGAGTTACTAAAAAAAAGTAAAAATACCATGCTGTAGGCGCTTGTTCCAATTATAATAATTGCCATATTCCAACAGTTGTATACCGTGTTACATGAATGAACAAAATTATGACTACAATATACCTACATGTAAAAGTATGAGTAAGCATAATAAATTGCAAAACATGGTATCTTCCTACTGCATTTTTATAACCAGGAAGAAAATGTGTTTTGACAAAATGAGACTAAACCTTGTGACCTTACTGTATAATTAAGAAGATATTTGTTGAAATACGAAATAGCCACCGCCTGGCGGTCTGGCAAGCTTGCGTATATTGACCTAAATATATTATTATCTTTAGAACCATTCGGCGAATTTTAGTCGGTGCTTATATTCACGGATGGTTCCTCGTTATTGCGCCTACGTACGATCATGTTTTCTTACGGTTTCTTTGTTACAAATTTTTATAATTTAGCCCTTATGGATTGCACTTGTCAACTTTTTTATCGGCAGTCAGCAGTTCCTAAATTTTTAATAAAATTTTAAAATTGCCTAATAATTTTTATAATTATTAAAAAGACTCCATTTCATCTGTAGCGTAAATCAAACTCCTAAAAAAATATTAATTTACCCCATTTTCATTATACTTATTTTCATTATTTCTATAGAAAAAAACCATAACTTTTGTGACTGGTTCCACCAATCACCTCAACCAATCGTTTTCCATAATTAGATATTTATGATTATGGAATACCATTTGAAGTTTTGTCTGTGTCTGAAGTTTAGAAGATGGAAAAAAAAGGTCTGAAGACTGATCGTACCCAAAAATGATTTTATTAGGTATGAAAGAACTACTAAAAACATTATCAAAACTTTTTTTACGATAAAGTCGTAAAAAGTTATCTGGTAACCCATTAAACAAAGGGGCAAGCAAATGTTTTTTTTGAATATTTTCAAAAATAAATCATAAATTTCGCTGAATATATTAAGATATAAATTAAGGATAAGACGATTAGCGTAATATATACTCAGATAACGATACGATTTTTAAGATTTTTTTTTGTTTTACACCTTTAAAAAAGTGTCGGTAAAAAGATGATTGATACATCTACGAAGATTCCTGTTGTAAATAGTTCGTAGTTTCTTGCGTAATCTAACTTTATACGACTATATATTATAGAACAAGTGCGAGCTGAAAATTAATCAAAAAGACAAACTAACGATTATGTAGTAAGACTGACTTTTCCTACCTTCTTCATGAACGTCAAGGGAGTCTTTTCTCTCCGGTTCCTCGTCGGAATCAGGATCCACGATTATATCAGCTTCGGTCATGGTCAGCTCTGGGGGCGGGCAGCTGCTGCCGGTGGAGGAGTCTGTACAAAAATGTTATTAATTTTAGACTATATTTTTCATTCGTAAAAAACTATGTAGTTGCTTTGTGTATATGTACATATATAGGTAAGGTGGCTGTACTTCCCTGGACGAACTCTTTCACAAGGAGATCTCTTGCTATTAAAGCATTAGTTATGGTATTTAGTATTTCTGCGTTGAATTTAAAATTGGGAATTGTGTAGTTTTTTTGGTATTTTAAAATACGATAACTGTGTATGATAATTGATAATATATTATCACAATTTAATAAATCGAACCTTTTGAAGACTTTAGCAGAGAGAAGAGTATTAGGTAAATTGCTCATTGATCCAACTCTGAACAATTTCAATAAATAAAAAAAGTTTAAACCTAATACAAAGATCTGTAAAAAGCAAAGGGAATTTCGTAAGAACTTTTAACCCTACGACGTTGCGACCTCTTTCGTCTTCATCAACCTTTTTTCACATTTTTTCTAGTTCCTGGTGACTTTTGACGTTTTGAATCGTTTTCTAATTCTTTTTCTTCGTCATGCTTACTTTGCTTCAATCTGTAGTTACTCCGTACAAAATTCCCGAAGAGAAAAGACGTGTCCTTCAATCATGTAAACCCAATTTGCTTATAAAGCAGCAATATATATATTTACCAGTACAGGCCCTTTTGGGGTGTCTACTTATATTCATCTATAAGCATATCCTCATGTAATTTAAGTAAGGAGTGTTTTATAGTTATTATATCATTGTTTTTTGTTACAGCCATTCCTTCTTCTTTCCTTACCTTTTCTTTGTTTACATCTCTACAATATAAATCTTGCAAAAAAAACTTTGCGGACCGAGCCTTCTCTTTAATTTCGCCAAGGCTATGCTACAACCCCGTCTTTAACTCAGTTGCTAAAAACGGTGGCCCCCACATGGCAAAACACGCTGGTTCAAGTCCAGTCAGATCGATGGAACGTTCCGTGTGTTGTTGGATCTTTGTATCAATAATAATATGAGCCAGATAATCACACCGTTGTCTGGTCTCTAGGGAACTAGCGAATTCCCTGTACTGTATACGAGTACCAGAGTACGGAAATCACTCCGGGACACTTCAAACCAACTAGTAGAGTCTTTCACAATATGTATATATATATCATGGTAGTATAACATATATATCAACACAACTCAACAAATAATCGTAAAGATTAAAGAAACTGCGCATATAAGTTAAGGCGGAAAGTACGTCATGACCTATTTCTTTTCCTCTTTCAACAACTTTCATACTCTGACTGGCATAATTCTATTGACCTTAAATATAAAACTAGTAAAATTAACACTACAGATGATGCCAAAATTGTTCATTGTTTTGAAAGTGACCCTAATCTATAGTAAACTGTCGCACTGCACGGGTTTCTTAAGATAGTAACTGACGACGTAGCAGACCTTGAAGGTGATGACATTGGGATCTTACAATAAACAATAGCAATTACTACATGTACGAGCTGTATGATGTGATTTACACCTTAAACTGTAGGTGTTAAGTTTCATATCTCTTGCAATCAATAAATAAAACTACCACTTTCAACCTAAACGAAGCGTAGCGCATTACCGTGATATGTTTTTAAAACTCATATCATTGTGTTTTTGAATTTTGTACGGAGTAACTACAGAATGAAGCAAAGTAAGCATGACGAAGATAAAGAATTAGAAAACGATTCAAAACGTCAAAAGTCGCCAGGAACTAGAAAAAATGTGATAAAAAGGTGAGATGAAGACGAAAGAGGTCACATCGTCACAGGGTTAAAAGTTCTTACGAAATTCCCTTTGCTTTTTACAGATCTTTGTATTAGGTTTAAACTTTTTTTATTTATTCAAATTGTTCAGAGTTGGATCAATGAGCAATTTACCTAATACTCTTCTCTCTGCTAAAGTCTTCAAAAGGTTCGATTTATTAAATTGTGATAATATATTATCAATTATCATACACAGTTATCGTATTTTAAAATACCAAAAAAACTACACAATTCCCAATTTTAAATTCAACGCAGTAATAATAAATACCATAACTAATGCTTTAATAGCAAGAGATCTCCTTGTGAAAGAGTTCGTCCAGGGAAGTACGGCCACCTTACCTATTTCTGTTGGCAAGCATTAGGTACTGCGTGCCAGTTTTGAAGGTGCTGGTGAAATTACACGGCACGTAGGATATGTCAAATTATGTCTCAAGGTGACGGGCGCAGTGGCAGTGCGCGTCAGTTCTTTGTGATTTAAAGTTCTGTCTCTGCAAGTGTTATGGATAGGCGTATCGCTTACCACCAGGCCACGACTTGTTCGTTCCCTCATTTGGTATCATATAAAAAAATTAACGCCCTTTATATCAAAACACTCTCTCGGTTTATTTTCTAATTACAACGATCTACAAGAATGTCAATACGGCAAACTCAGAATTAGAGACATTTGCTAAATCTAAAATTTTAAAGTGCATTTCGAATTATAAAAACTGGCAAAACTCTGTGTTGAAAATTGTACTTTACAGTAATGGCATCATCTTCAAATTCACAATCTGACAGTATGATGTGTCGCTGACCCATGACGTTCGCTAGCCAAAATTGAGAGAAAACGTGGAAATTCTTTCAGGTACATAGCCGAGCTAATTTTTACGTAATTTATGTTGTTTAATAGGAGTAGGTACTTACGATAGATCGAAGATCACCCCTACATTATTTCATGTCAACATAACGAGGTTCTTTTTAGTGAGTCATTGTGTGAAAATGTAGCACTCATAGTACGGGCAAAAGTGAAGTAGAGCATTTTGTGTTCTTCCGCGTCATTCGCAACGATCACGCAACAAAGTGTAATAATGCTCAGCGCATTCTGTGCAACGGTTTATCTTATTATTGCTCCGCAATTGAAAGCTGTTATTTCATTAAATTGCTAGGTCCGTAAGAACAAATCCGTATTTAAATGTAATTATACATTTTCGGACTCTTAGTTGTGGGTATGTGTAACGTAAGAGTTTACGGTCGTTTTTAGGAACATCGTATCGTGTCAATGCAGTAGAGCTCCAGAAAGAGTTCGTGCAGGGAAGTACTGCCACCTTACTTATTTCTAGCACCAAGCGGTAATATGAGCATTACTGCGTTCCGGTTTTGAAGGGTAAGGGTGCTGGAATTACAGGCATGTGGGACTTGTCAACTTATGTCTCAGGATCACGGGCGCAGTGGCAGAGCCCTAAGATCTTTGCGATTTAAAGCTCTGAGTGGCACTACTACTGTCGCTTACCACCAGGCGCACGACTTGTTCGTCCCGTCACTTGATATTATAATTATAAAAAATGCAAATTTAACTTAAAAAAATTTTATTTCTCTCGTGAGTTTGGGTGTAATTTGTGGTTGTCTATGTATGTGTCCATGGCACCCGCGTTACAGAGTTTTCCTAGAGCGGAGCTATGAGTGTATGAAAAAAACGCTTCTTTTACATTACGACTACACTTATTAACTTTGAATAGATCTTTCTTTGTACAGGTATTAGGTAGGCGGAGCACACGAGTAAGTGTTGTATGGACTGTTTTGAGGCACCGCAGACACATTGGATTAGACTATCCATGAACCCCCTTTTAAAAACAATTATCTCTGCAGCGACCTACCTGGGTGCGAAGTCGATTCAAAGACTTCCATCCGGGTTTAGGCCCGTAACTTAACAAAAGAGTTTAAAAAGTAGCTAATATTTTAAGTACGATTATTTTTGAAATAGAAAGGGTATAAGTAGGTACATAATATCGAAAAATTTTTTTCGAAGTGTCTTCATCTTTGTGTTTATAATTATAACAGACTAGTGGAGTAATTTCACGAAAAAGTAATTGAATATCATGGTGGTGAATTCTAATATTGAATAAAACTTTAGTAGAAAAAGTATTCTAAATACATTTTGTGTGCTTGATGTTCTGTTGTGCAGTTAATGACTTTAAATTAAACTTTTTAAGCAAAGGATTTAAAAATATATGTAAAATTTCATGGCATAACTCAATTCATATTATTGAACCACTTTTCCTTAGAAACAGACAGTTTAGATCTTCAGATGGATGCAATGGAACGGAGCGCAAATTGGTATGGGTTCCTTATAAAAGTCAGTCATTAGGTGAAATATCAAAAATACTATTATTAATAACCTTTACAAAAACTAACTAGGAACAAAGAAAGACAAACAGTTTCGTTGTAAGAAAGTTAACGTACTCGGAGGCCAGTGACCGTATGTGGTCATTTACACTTACAGTTAATTGACGAAAACAGTTGGCACGATCTCAAAGAAAGCCAACGGAATAATAAATGATCAATGTGAGATATGAGAAAAAAACGACCTTTGAAGGCTACAAAACAAAAACACCTTGAATAACAAGAACAACACGATGAAATTACTTTACAAGAACAATTTGTTTAACGAGTTGTGCGAGCGATATAAACACATCAAAAAAGTTTTTTAAGCATTGTTACCATTCTTCCACAATGAAAACTTGAAGCTTACAAAATCGTTTAGAAAAACGTTTAAGTGCATAGACTTTTATGTTAAAAAAAGCTTGCAAAGTTGTGTTGATAGGGAAAAGTAAGAGTAGACAAGTAAAGGTTTTAAGATAAGTAAGTTTATTTGTAAAACACGAGTTTTATTTTTATTTATGAAATTATTATTCACATTGACGAATTAATTTGTTTAGGAAACATAGATGGCGAGACTTGACACTTAGGCACTTTGTAAAAAATGAAATTGTTGAGTATTGAACTGACCAGCGCTTACGCTTAATTTGAAAAGCGTGCTTATGTGCTTATTTTAAAAGGCAGACTTTTAAAGTACTTTTCGTTTAAACGCCCACCCCTACCTGTAACGCAGTACGCGAGTGTTCAGCGGTCCTAGCCAATGTAGCGCTTGGGTGCAATTGATAACCTAGCGTCCTCTAGTAGGCATGCGATCGAAATAGAATACTCATATTTTCCTTAGTGATCGGAAATTCAGGTGCAATTACAAATGATGTTGGG